TTCTACGTTTTTGGCTGATTTTTCTTTGGATCGCGACTTTTGCGGTAGGTGATGATAGGGTAGTTTTTGGAGGTTGGTAGGTGTACCTATTAACACCAATTAATTAGCAATAAAATATGCCACCAAGATGGGAACTGTAGCCTTTTTCCTTGCTGATATATAGCTATGACTACGTATTTTTACCACAAAGTTAGCATAAACATTGTTTCTCGGAGACGGTTGCGGTAATAAATTGTTTCTTGGTGTAAAAATTTAGCAATAAATTTGCAATTAATTCCTTGTAGCTCTCTTTTCTAGTTTCATCGTTTTTGGCCGGTATCGCAATTTTTCAAGGGAGTGAGTCTTGTGTTAAAGGATGATGGAGTAGTTTTTAGGGATTGGTCAATGTCAATTAAAAATAGCAATTAATTAGCAATAAAATATGCCTCAATATATGCCCAGAAGCTCTTTTCCTTGCCTAGATTTAGCTATGGCTATATTAGCTTTACCATAAAGTTAGCATACCCATTGTTTTTCGAAAACGGTTTCAGCAATAAATTGTTCCTTGTCATAGAACTTTAGCAATTAATAGCGATTAATTCCTTGCGATTGATGTTTCTAGTTTCATCGTTTTTGGCAGATATCTGGATTTTCCGGGAGTGAGGTATGCGTTAGGGGATGATGAGGTAGTTTTTGGGGATTTGCGATTCACTTCTCTAGTTTCATCGTTTTTGGCCGATATCTCAAATTTTCAAGGGGGTGAGTTTTGCGCTAGGGGATGATGGGCCAGTTTTTGAGGATTAATTAACAATAACATATGCCGCTAAGATGGGTCTCTAGCCCTGTTCCCTGCCGAGATATAGCTGTGGCAATGCTAGTTTGTTTTACCGTATAGTTAGCATGCTCATTGTTTCTTGGAAACGGCTCCAGCAATCATTTTTTCTTGCCGTAATAAGTTGTCAAAAAATTATAGTGCTGGTCTGAATTCGGCCTTATAAAATGGATATGCTAATTCTACCATCATAACAAACTATTAGAATAATAAGAAGGGGATTTCGACCTAAACTCTTCAATACAGACTGGAATATGCATTTAAAGACCTAGACTGAAGAATAAATGTAATAAAAATAGTCAAGGAATATTTCTCTGTCTATTTCCAAAGAACCACACAGAGAATGTGTTTTCTAACAAAAAGGAAAATGACATTTACAATTAAAATAAAAAATTAAACAAAGTTAACAATAATCGGATAACTGTGACGCTGGACATTGAGCAGGGACAGGAGGCCTAAATGCAGGCCTATATGTGCATATAGGAAAATCCAAAATTTTTGTAGAAAAAATCATTTATCATACATTTTTTAGTTCTTATGCCAAGTAATTATCAGTGGAAACCTGTAATAGAAATTAACGGGGCAAATAAATAAAAATAAAGACAAACTTACCCCCCAAGGCTGTTGGTGGTGTATGAATCCATATCATCGTTGATATCGAGCTCCTCATCGATGATCTCCTGCTTGATATCCTCACATCTTGGACCTTCGAAGATGTTGCCATCCTTGTAGATGTCCTGGGGTCTGCTGTGCTTCTTTTTGCTAAGAATCTCGTCCATGGCTTTGTAATGTGGCCAATCAGGATCGACTGTTCCTCTGCCTACTCCAGTCTGCACAGACCTCTTAATTCGGTGGTACAAGCATTTCAGGTTCCTCAGTCTCGTTTTGATCTCATCGGGGGTTCTGTAAAATCCACGATGTTGCATATTGGCAGCCAAAAGCCTCATAACGGGGGCTTTTCGATGTGTGAGGTAGAGTTTGTTTTGTATTTGCGGACTGCCCCATAGTTGTATTAACAGTTTGGTTTCGTCTTCACGGAAATTAGTGGTTCGTTTCTTTTGTAAGACGCGCAAAGGGCCCGGATCCATTTGGTCTGAGAAAGAACCAATGATTTCACTGTATAAGATTTTTAAGATTTTTTGTATTCGCTGTTTTTTTACTTGATTGATTTATACCCGATTTAAAAACCAACGAGATTCTAACTATATAGTGTATTAAAACACATAGATTATTAAACTAACGAAAAATTTAAAGTAAAAATGTAGCCAGTCATCAAGATCTATTAAAAGCATACAGAAAGTCCCCAGAGAATATTTTAGAATCTGCTGTTGCACAAATATACAAATAGATGACGCATACTCTTTATAATTTTCTTTTTGCAAATTACAGTTTCTTATTGCAACCGAAACCAAATTTAACGAAATGATTTTTGAGGTAAGAAATGTTTTTGATAGCGTTACATATAAGAAACAAAAAAGTGAACGAAAATGCATCAAACAGAAGAAATAAAACATTGTGAAATGATATCTTAATACTCTTACTTAACCGTTGACATGAGATAAAAACTCTTATTCAAATGTCAACCTCACTTGCTCATCTGATAATCTAGATCATGGTCATTTGGTACATCCTGCTAGATAACTAACGACAACATTCGAGCGTTTGCCGAAATAAGCAATCCACCATTTACTGGCCAACGGCTCCGGGCGAAGGAGCTGGTATGTGAAAGGGCATATTGTTGTTCTGAGACTGAGAAACTGGTCTCAAACGCGGAAGAACTAAGAAAGTTATCGAAGGCAAGGAGAAATGACTGCAATAATATTCGCGCAGGAGATACTAATGATTATGGTATCGGAGACTAATTTCCGGCAAAGGAGGACTATGAGAATGCAAGGCCTCCTCGGTCGTTAACATTAATAAATCAACATAAACATAAATCAACTATAGATTATGTAATAACTAGCAAGCAAATACACCTTAAACAGGTATTAGATATCAGAACAAGAACACCACTTAACGTAGGATCAGACCACATTATGGTTTTAGGAAAAATCTTAATAAAAATAAGACTAAAGAAAAACTATGAATATACCCAAAATATATGAAAAAAATAAATATCTAGACCTTAGAAGACGAAACTACTCCATGGCTAGAAGACGATTGCAAGAAAAATTTTAAGAAAACGAAGAAAATGAAGTACTTAGATTGAAGATGGGAAACCATAAAAAAGAACATAACCGCTGCTAAAGAAAGCATGGAAACATAGAAGGTTAATGTAAATGGTAAAAGGAAGATCAAACTATGGTTCACCAACGAAATTAAAACTTTAGCCCATGAAAAACGGAAAGCATAAATCTACTATCAAAGTAATACGATACTCTGATGATCTCCATCTGATACTAACTTCTTCTTCATGTACCATGTCCTTTCAGAACGTTGGTTACCATCATACCTACTGTAATCTTGTTCACTGCCACCCTAAATAGCATGCTTGTATCAATACCATACCAATCTCGCAAGTTCTTCAACCATGAGGTTCTTCTTCGTCCTGGACTGCGTTTGCCTGCTATTTTTTCTTGCATATTTTGTAGCAACCTATATTTGGGACCTCTCATTACATGTCCGAAATACTCTAGCTTTCTCTGCTTGATGCTTTTTATGATCTCAGTAGTCTTGCTGAGACGTTCTAGTATTGTGGAGTTTCGAATCTTCTCCACCCAGGAAACTTTTAAAATTCTTCTATACCACCACATTTCGAAAGCCTCAAGGCGATTTAGATCGATTTTATTCACAGTCCAGAACTCGACAGCATAAAGTAAGATCGAGAACTCGTAGCAGCGAAGTAGGCGGATCCTTAATGCCAATTTTAGGTCTCTGTTACATAACACCTTGGACATCCTTCTAAAAGCAGCTCTAGCCTGCTCTATCCTGGATCTAATTTCGCCGTGATTTTCTGCGTTACAATTTAATTGCTGTCCAAGGTAAATGATTTTATCAACTTGCTCAAGTTTGGTATTATTTACGGTTTGGTATTTATATAGACGGTTTTATATCCTGTTGTTTACTTATTACGAGTATTTTGGTTTTCCTTATGTTAAGATCCAGACCTGCATCCCTACAACTCTCAACGACACTATCAAGTAGTGTTTGCAGATCTTCTTGACTAGAAGCTAGGAGTACTGTATCGTCCGCATATCGCAAATTATTGATGACTTCTCGTTCACAAGTATTCCTTTTTGTTTTTCAGAAAGTGCTTTTCTGAAAATTCTTTCGGAGTAAACATTAAAAAGCAGGGGTGACAAGAGTCATCCCTGCCGTACTGCTCTTTTAATATTAAGAGCTTGTGATTCCACACCATCTACTAAAATTGATGTTGTTTGATTCCAATATAAATTTGCAATTATTCGAACATCTCTGCCGCCCAAGCCAATGTCTTTTAGAGCATCAATCAATATAGAGTGCTTAACACGATCAAATGCCTTTTGGAAGTCAATAAAATAACAGTACATGTCTACAGATATATTACGACATCTTTGAGCAAGTACGTTCATACCAAAAAGTGTCTCTCTCGTTCCAAACCCGTTACGGAAACCAAACTGAGTGTCATCCAGGTATTCCTCACATTTATTGTAGATACGACCATGTATTACCTTGAGAAAGTGAAGTGTTGAAGTGGTTTAACAAACTGATGATACTAACTCCATCACAGAAAGTGATGCAGTCGAAGAAAACTGGGCAAAAATTAAGTCTAATATCTTAGCCTAAGCCAAGGAAGTTCTTGGTGAAATAAATATAAATAAAAATAAATCGTTCCCAAGGCGAAGAACTCCATAATGTTGAACAGAATGGGATACCATAATTACAACACAATTAGAAACTAAACACATGCACTTGTAAGAAAAATACAAAATAATCACTGGAAACGCTTTTCGAAAGAAATGGAACATGTTTTTTACGGTCTGCAAAAGGAAATATGGCGCTTCATAAGAGGTCAAACAACGGAGGTAAAGGAACTAATAGAAGCAAAACAAGAACAAACGACGATAAAACTGGAAACACCAGAAATTAGCACAAATGAAGAACTTAATATAAATGTAAGGGAAGTTCGTAAAATACTTGAAAAGCTGAAGAAGAGAAAAGCAGCAGGTAAAGACGGGATACCAAATAAACTACTGACATATTGTGGAGCAGCAATGACAGAACAATTAAAAACATTAATTAACAAAATTATAAAACACAATAAAATACCGGAAGAATGGAGAACGAGCGAACTAATTCTACTATACAAAAAAGAAGATAAAAACCAGCCAGATAACTACAGAAGTATAAACTTGTTAAATACTACCCTAAAACTTACAACTAAAATTTGACAAGTACTAATAAATCAGAGGATAACGCATATAAACACCAGGGTTTTCATATTGGAAGATCGTGTACAGACGCAATATTCGTCATAAAGTAAATTCCAATCAGGTATAAGACAGGGTGATAGCTTCAGCCCGTTATTATTTAACTTGATAATGAACAAACTAACAAAAGTAAAAAAGTCAGGAATTGGATACAAAATGTGCAACAGAGCAATAATGATTCCATAACGCAGAAAAGTTTAACCTGAAAATATCAGCACTAAAAACAAAGTCCTCGTTATTGCTAGGGAGCCTAGCAAGATGCTAGGGAGCCTAGCATCTTGCTAGGTGAGATGCAAAATTGTAATAAACGAAGAAATAATAGAACAATTATCGAAAGTCAACTATCTGAGAACACAAATATCGCATTATGGAAACATCTCCGAAAGAATCCGCATACAACCTAATAAAGCAGCGTACAATAAAAGGAAAACACATAAGACTTATGTATGCCCGATATTAAACTATGAAGTAGAAACAAGAGCAGAAACAACAATTACAAAGAAAATCTTAAGAATCACAGAGATCAAAACACTGAGGACGATAGCAGGTATAAGTTTAAGAGACAGAATCCCTATACACAAATCACAGATATGTGTGAAGTACGTGATTCGTCAGATAGGGGCACCAAAGAAGGCAAAAAAACCACAAGGCAGACCCTCTAAAAGATGGAGAGATAGCTGGAAGTCAACATCGCAAATACTGCTAAATCAGACCGGAAACAACAGGCCTTAAGCAAGAAGGCCCTAACGCCCTAACATACGAAGAAGAAGAAGATAAGAAACTAGACCAAATAATGAGCAAGGTGTACTGTAAATGAAACTAAAATCATGAAAATAAACCGCAGTCTATCCAACATCAGAAAGACTGCGGACTGCAGTAGCGCGTAAGGTAATTATACAACTAACTCTCGTATGAAAAGATAAAGTAAACTAATACTATTAAACAAATAATTTTTCATATTGCGACACATACATCTGAGACAAGGACGTTAAAGCTGCCAACCGAAAAAAATAAATGACTTCGAGAATTGGGCGTATAGAAAAATTTTGCTAATATCATACAGAGCCCATCGCACCATTTCAATTATAAAGAAATTAAATGTCAACACACGCCTGTGAACAAAAATAAAGCAGTACTATGTGTGATACTTTAGGCACACAGCGAGAAGTACAGAAGACCTAGAAAAACTGATCGTCGAGGGTAAAATAAAGTTAATTGCAAACGACGGCGAGGAAGGTCTCCTAGACGCTGCGTGGAGAGGAATTATTGGCCGTTATCTACACACTGATGCTCTAGCAGCGCACGACAGACAATAATGGAGAACCATGATGTCACTGTACTCTTGCAAGTGTCAACAGACAAAAGAAGCAGATAAAAGGAATGAGAACAAGGACAACCTTAAAATATACACGTTTCAAATAAATAAACAGGCAGAAAGAGATCAGAGATGATAAAAAAACAAACAGTACAAAATGATAAAAACACTATCGAAAATAACTGCAGAATGACAGTGCTAAGATTAAAATTATATTATGATGAATAAAGGTAATAAAAATAAAAAACTACTAGAATACAGGTTGTAGTGAACAAGGAGACCATTTAAAAATTATATGTACATTTCTTTCCCTCCTATGCACAACATTAATGAACAACAAAAAATATACCATTTGCATGGTATCTACTAATTTTAATAAAAAATATACTGAATAGGTATAACGTGTCTATTCAAAGACATTTGTGGACCTACAATTTAAATTCAGTAGAGGTGTGGGTGGATGACCCTAGAATACATCTATCTACTACATTACATTAAGATTGATAGATCAACTAAAACAAATAAACAATAGACAATGTCAACGAATAAATAATACCCAGAATACACGAGAAGAATAAGAAAATCTGAATACTCTTTTACTGCAAGACAGATACAACTGTGGTGGGAGTGATTCTTGTTATTTCACTGCGAGACAGAATATAGATCAAACAAAATAATGGATATGCAAAATATGGATTGAAAAAGATGAAGGTACCTACTTATATCTATCTAATGCATCGTATTTTTTATATATTTGAGATACATATACGAGCCCTAACAACTATATATTGGAACAAGCAGTTATTTTACGAATATAATGCCAATTTACCGAAATTATTTTATTTCATTTTATTTTAATTGTAAATATGAAATTAACAACATTTTTTATGATGTATGGAATTATTTTTGCGGTTTAATTATATATTTTATAATATTGATTACTATTTAATTAATTGTTTAATAATCTAAAACTGCTGACAAATAAATATTGGAACATTTTTTGCTTTTCCTCACGTTTCTTAAATTTTAACAGCCTGACGCAAAAATTCTTTGAAATCAAATCAAACATACGACTAAGTAGTGTGTTTACAACAATAATTATTGTAACGCGTCATTTGAGTATGTATAATAATGACACGTGGAAACCGTACTGATCGAAAAGTTCGAGAAATTATTATTCATCAGTAGTGTAAAGGGAAAACAATGCGTGAAATTTCCAGTGAATTGACTGTAGCAACAACTACTGTATTTAATATAATTAAGAAATATTGTAAGGCTGACAGTATTGATGTTCGCGGCAAAAGCTGAGGTCGTGCAAAAGCTGTTTCTCCAAAGGAGTGTAAAGCAGTTAATTAGAATATGTACGTCGGGAAGAAGAAATACACTAGGAGAAGTAACTGCTAGGTGGAATAGAGAAACTGGCATGAATGTTTCCAGAGAATGCTGTCGCAAATATATCCACAAAAGCGGTTTTAGCTTTTTTAAGGTATGTTTGATAGGTTCATCTTAACGATATAAATTTTATATTTTTTGATTTTTTTCGAGTAGGCCGAAGAAAAACCATTGTTGGCGGAAACTCAAAAAAGGAATCGTTACATTCGGGCTAAATCAAAACTTTCGTGGACCAAACATAACTGGAACAAAATTATCTATAGTAACGAAAGCAAATTTGATGTCTGCGTGCGGGATTAGCGAAAGCATGTGATTCGGGAAAAAAACAGAATCATTCCATATGGATTGTCTCAAAAGGACTATAAAGTTTCCACAGGGTAGGTATTATGGTGTGGGGTTGTATGTCAGCCAAAGGGTTGGAAACAACATTTTATTGAAGGCATAGTAAACGCAGCCAAATATCAAGATATTCTTGAACATTAAAAACAAAGTTATTTCCATCCGGATATTTTATCTTTCCACAAGACGGAGCCTCACGTCATACGGCTAAATCTACCAAAAAATGGATGGGAGAACAAGACATTAAAGTTTTGTCATATCCTTCTAGCAGCCCGGATCTTAATCCAATAGAGATACTTTGGCACAAAATGAAACAATGTCTAAGAAATAACCCTCAGCGTACTTTGTCACAATTATGTGCTAAAATGCAAGAAATATAGGATAGTTTCACCTATGATTTCTGTGAAGGCCTAGTTGATACAATGCCTCATAGAAGTTCAGACTGTTATTCAAGCTAAGGGCGACGTTACGCCTTATTAATTTTTATTTTAATTTGTTAAAAACTCCTTGTCCCAATATTTAGTTGTCAGCATTTTTTGATTATCAAACAATTAATTAAATATTAATCAAAATAAAATATATAATTAAACTGTAAAAATAATTCCATATCATAAAAAATGTTTAAAATGTACAATTAAAAAAAATTTAAATATAAGAATTTTGGTAAGTTTGTATTTTATTCGCAAAATAACTGCTTGTTCCAACATTATCAAGAATATTCATGGTTTGTAAGAAAATTAAATTTCTTTGATTGTAATCAGAAGTTCGTAATACCTTTACCAAAGAATATAGATGCTTATACTCTTTGCCTTTACTATGGTGATAGTCAATAGATAAATTTTATTTTTTTTAAGTAATCATTCCTGTGGAAATATTGGCTGCGGCTATATTATATTGGAAATACAAGGAAAAAGTTTGACTTTTACCACGTATATGAGAATTAAGATTAAATGTAAAGAACTACTGCTGATTGTCTAAGGACAAATTCAACGAAGAAATATACAAATATTCCACCGAATATACCTAATAGATATGCCATCTTGAACTTTTAATAAAGATTATTATTATACAGAAGAATATCTTGAAATTAACTAAAAAATTGACCTGTCTACTTTCGGTAATTCAGAGGGAAAACAACACAATGGATAACTCTGTATTATTGTCAAAAACAGCTGCTATGACCGATTATACAAACAACTTACCAGAATATGTTTGAAACACATGGTTGTAAGACAATAAATCAACTGTACATAATATATTATTACTTTATGTTGAAGTAATGTTTAAACAATAATAAAACTACCACAAAATGTTTACACTTATTAAATCTCTGACGGCTCCGGTTTGTATTAAAACACCCCCCAACCCTTGCACGAGACATCCAAAAAGGGAACTGCAATTGGCAAAGTGCGCGCGCTACTAACCCTACCGTATTGATTATTTGATTTTATTTAATATCTAAGTACTTATACTCAACCGCGTAACTAACTTACTAAATTTAAATCAATTTAGAAGCTTTTCTGTCACGATACGTTTTAACAAAACAACTTAGGCTGGCAAAATACACAAAAATGATCACATGTTAAGACAAAATTTAACAATAAGTTTTAAAACAAGTTTAACCACACTTTAGAAGTTTCAAAACTTACCCGTAACTGCTATTTTCATGCCAATGTCACCTTACAACCACTGTTCCAGCCTGTCACCGCCGCTGCACTAATATTTTTAAAATTTTTTTTTGTAACGTACGTAAGTAAAGCGATTGTGGTTCGTGATGGCTGAAACTGAATCGCGCGAAGCCGCGAAGGCCTGGCAAGGGGTGCTGAACTACCCTACTGAATCGGTGATCAATGTGTTAACGCAGGCGCATTTCATCGACACACTTAAGTATACAGGGATATGTTGTGAGGGGACGATAAGAAAGGGGAATAATAAGCGCAACCGGGGGTAACGTCGATTTCGGACTAGTTTGTGGGGATTTAAGCTCTTCGCGGCGTTGCTGCAATGAAAAAATTTCTGAAAGTCTAAAGATTTTATAAATCTTAACATAATTATTGAACTGTTTACGTGTAATAGGTATAAATAAATAATAAATCAGAGTATTCTCTTGGAGTCTTGTAAGTTTAAGTGTTATGAGTATGAAGTAGGGAGAATACTTTCTGTGGGATACGAAGTGGAAATATTAAGCGGAGAAATAAATATGTGGGCCAAACAAATTGCAGTAGGTATGTAAAAAAGAAAGAGTAAACTCGGAATGGATTTCATATGATTGCAAATTCTTCTTTTTGATGTGCCTATCCGTTACGAATGTTGGCGATTATCATGGCAATCTTTATCTTATCTGCAGCAGCGCGGAAAAACTGCACAGATGTTGAATTGAACCAGATTCTGAGGTTCTTTAACCAAGATGTTCTTCTTCTTCCTGGACCTCGCTTTCCAAATATTTTTCCTTGCAGGATGACTTGAGGAGAGCATATATGAATGCATTTCGCATAATATGTCTGAAGAATTGTTACTCTCGAAATTTGATGGTGGTCAGTACCTCCCGGTTCTTATTCATTCTTCTGAGGACCGCCTCATTTGTGACTTGGTCAGTCCACGGGATCTTCAGTATTCTCTGATATAGCCCAATCTCAAATGCTTCCAGTTTTCTGCACATTTCGTTCAAGGTCCACGATTCAACACCATAAATAGGACAGAGAAGACGTACCCTCGCAGCATTCTTACTTTTGTATCAAGAGAGAGGTTGTGACTCTTGAAGAAGGCCCCCATCTGATTGGAGGTGGATCTAGCTTTTTCGATGCGAGCTCTAATCTCCTGCTTGTTGGTTCATTCTTCATTTATTATGGTGCCGAGGTAGTTGTAATGCGTAACTTTTTCTACAGGGGATTGGTTGACGTAGATTTGACCTTCTGTTATCCTTTTCTTGCTAATTATCATAAGCTTTGTCTTCTTAACGTTTATATTGAGTTCATATTGTTGACTGTAATACTTGATTTTGTTCCTAAGAACTTGTAGGTCTCTATAGAGAACTAAGTTGTCTGCAAATATTATGGTGTCATCTGCATATATGATATTATTTAGCCGGTAACCATTCAGTAGAATACCTTTTTCAGTTTCGTGCAAAGCTTCGATAAATATTCTTTCAGGGTACAGATTGAAGAGTAGAGGAGACAAAATACAGCCTTGCCTCACTCCACGCATGATTTTCAAATAGTCAGTGTGTTTACCTTCAACTCTGAGATTTGCTGTCTGATTCCAGTAAAGATTTTTTAATTATTTTCAGATCTTGGTTGTTAATTCCTGCTTCTTTGAGTATTTGCATCATCTTGGCGTGCTGTACTCGATTAAACGTTTTCTCGTAATCAACCAGATATACGTATACGTCGCAGTTGACGATAATAGAAAATAGAGAAACTAAAGAGAAAGTTTAAGAGCTTTTAAGAAAGAGTGACAGGATAATGTCGGTAAAATATATAGGTATTTGATACAGAAAATTTGTAGTTGCCGATAATGAGAGAAGATATGTGTTAATGTAAGAACTATAAGATAATATAACATAAATATAAACGTGTAGATTAAAATTTCCGTCGAAGGAACGAAGGAATATGTAGTCAAGCAAAAATTTTGACAAAAAATGAGTAGGAATACGAAAGGCATGAAAATTAATACTTATATGTCGGAAAAATATTTATTAATATCAATGCCATTGAAATTGTTTTATTCATTAGTTTTTTCAAGTTACAAACATTTGTCTTATTATACTCTGTTTTTTAACCAGGAGGAGTAAACCAAAAAGACAGATTCACACTCAAGAAAGTTACTAGAAAAGTCACCAAATACATCTTCTTTTTTTGTTAATTATCTCGGCCTTGCGGTAATCGAGTAATCAATATTGGACAACCTCACACGTCAATTTTAACCTAACATTGTTTATTTTTTATGTTTGAATAATAAAATAATTTTTTTCAGTTCACTTCCAATATATATTACAATAAAAAAAGGACTTTTTCATATTTGGTCCCATGTATATATATTTAAATATCGGGTGATCCAGTTTTATAGATCTCTTAAGTCTATGGTATTTAATTATAATTTAGAGAATATTTTTATCTGGAGAGGCAATAATGTTGTAATGTAAATTTTTCTTTTAATAGTAGACCATATTCTTATTCTGGTATGATCAATTTCTTGAATCTAGTTTTTTTCTTACCAGATACTTTATATAAATAAGTGTGTACTGACAATTTCTTTAATGCTAGATCCTTGTTTAATTTTGACAGTGAGTTTGTCCAATTTGTTATCAACAAATAAAATTTACTAAAAAATACTGGATTTCTGTGAGATAATCAACAAATCCAATCTATTATGTTACATTCTTGCATAATTTTGCAGTTTTCTTGTGATGATCTACAACCAGGAAGAACAAAACCAACTGTATCATACAATCAAACTAAAACACAACATTACTTTACTAATGTTATGTTCTTTTATTGTGATTAAAACAATATGGAAATGCTTCTTACCAATGATACACTAAATGTAAAAGATAGTTGCCGTTTATCTTATGATAATTAGATATAAATAACATACATTTATAAACACTTTAAACTATATTTAGTATAAATATCATCTAGAAAAATATCACATTAAATAGGTACTATTCGCATATCACCAAGTCCAAGTGATAACAAACAACTTAAAAAGTCAGAAATCGATTTATATATTAGAGGAAAATAATAATAAATAAATTTCACAAATGTCATTAGTGTCAATATGTCATAATTTAGTGGAGTAAACTTGCCTTTGGTTGGACCAATTACAAACAAGCATTAGGGCGCGGTAAATTTGAATTACTCCTCCTGGTTAAAAAACAGACCATAGTTTGTTTTCAAACATATATATTGTAATTATTAATGAATATAAAAAAGACCAAATACATGATAGTAACAAAGAAAACAATTCTCTGCAACAAATATCTTAGATTAGAACTGAGAGTAAGAGCACTGAGATGCTACGTGTTTTCGATACTGCAATATGGACTTAAAAGCTGGACATTGAAGCAAGAATACATAAATAAGTTACAGTCCTTTGAAATGTGGTATTACAGGAGGATGCTTAGAATAGCATGGACACAGAAGAAAACTAACACGGAAGTATTGCGAGTAATGGGCAAAAAATGCAAAATAATAAACACAATAAAAACAAGAAAGTTACAGTATCTGGGACACGTATTGAGGGGACAGCGATATGAACTGCTAAGGTTGATAATACAGGGAAAGATAAGAGGAGGAAAGAGTATAGGAATAAGGAGAGTGTCATGGTTGAAGAATTTAAGTGACTGGTTTAAATTCAGTTCTATAGAACTATTTAGAGCAGCAGTAGATAAAGTAAAGATAGTAATGATGATATCCAACCACCGATTGGAAAACAGCACTTAAAGAAGAAGATATTGTAATTATTTCTCTCTTGCAATGAATGTGCTTGTTTCTAAAGTGTACATTAAAATAGGTCGTATTGCTGTTTTGTATATTTAGCTAACTTTTGTTTTTCGCTTTATCTGTTTGTCTCTAAATATATTTTTGTTTAGATATATAAAAGGCACTGTTTCTCCAATTCTTCTCTTCACACACACACACACACACACACATATATATATATATATATATATATATATATAGTTATATATATATATATATATATATATATATATATATATATATATATATATATATCATCAGTACTCATTAATTATTTACGTTTCCACTTCTTCAAAATCTTTTGATAACTAGGTACATATTTATTAATTATATTCTTTCTTGTATTCTTTTTGTCTACTGACTACCTGCCTATATTTTGTTTTGACTTCATTGATTAACAATCCAATTAGGCTTTAGATTAAAAATTTTTGAGTTGCTTTTATTTCTCTTGTTTATTTTACTCTGCCCTGTGTTCGATATATTTTTGAAACTCTTAATAAGTATTATAATAATAAATAATCTCGTTGATATTGTATACCATTTTCAGTTTTTTTTAATTTATCCATTTTCTATATCAATTATTGGTTATGAATATCTCATGTTCATTTATGTTATCCATTCTTGTCAATTTGTTTGTTTCGTTGTTGTTCATATTTCAGTAATAAGTCTTCAATCATTAATTTTCTGTTAAACTTATCAAACATTTGTTTAAGCCTACAAACAATTAGTGTACTTCTGTGTCGTAATTTATATAATTTCCATTACCATTATTTGCCTTAACGTGTCAATTAAATATAGATATTTCATTTTTAAATCCTTGTTGTTCTTATTATTTTCTCTGTGTATATTGTCAGTCTTTCACTTTCTGTTTCTGTCAGTACTTTGTATGTTATAGTTAGTAGATGTAACATACTAAGTATTTTCAAGAATAATAAGATAAGGACTATTAATATTCACGAAGAAACTAATTAGTTTTTGTTTAATATATGATTTATCCAGTTTTGATATTGCGTTGTTACACGCAAGTACACATCTTTCACTTTTCGAGTGGTTCTTTTTTCCACATCGTTTTGATAAATTCTGAGATATTTTGACTCAGCTGTTCTCCCAAATATTTTAATGATTTTTTAAAAATTTCCAACGCATTCCGCACATTTTCTATTACCAGACTTTTTATCAGACCAGAAATTTTACTTTTGCGTACTTGTGTTGTAAGGCAATGAAAAAGATTACGAAAATAATAAAAGTCAAAATTGAAAAATATTTAATATTTCGGTATTAATGGTAATATAATGTGGCAACATCG